CCCCCCCCCACACACACACACACACACACACAAGACACGACCCACGGACGCCCCGACAGGCCAGTCGCCCCGGCCCGGGAGCCGGGCCCGGCCGGCCCCGCCCTCCATGGAGTGTGTGCCGTGGCCGCGCGACCAGCCGCATGGGCGCCGCCAGACCAGCCGCAGGGCCGCCCACGTATACACCATGCCAAAGGCATGCTCCATTGTGGCGGCCGAGCTTCGTGTTGCCAACTCTCGCCCGGAGGGAGGCGGCGGCCGACCGGCCGGCTACCCCCCCCTCCCCCCTCCGCACGACCGTCGCCATGCCGGCAGCAGACCCGCCCGGCGCGGACCCGGCCCCCACAGCCAGATCCCCCTCTCAGCCCACCCTGCCGCCGGGCAGGCCCCCCTCGCCCCCTCGCGCCGGCGCTGGGCGGGCGGCGGAATGCCCGGCAGCCGGGCGGCACCCGCCAACGGGCCACCTGCCGCAGCGGGCCCACCCCCGCCCGGGCTGCCCCATGTGTCGGGCGCGGGGCCCGGGATGCTGTGACTTGCGCACGGCCTCCGTGCGAACAGCCGCCCGCGCACGTCATGCACCGCACGCCGGCCCGGGCAAACTCCCCCTCGGCCGGTATTTCGCGCAGGCCATCCTCTGCGATCGCCGCCGCGGGGCCCCGCTCCGGTATCCCACTATCCCCGGGGGTCCGGCTCCCGGCAACCGCCCTGCCGCACCGAACACCCCCCGGTCGGGGGGTTTCTGTGTCCCTGGCTGCCGGCCGGCGGTTTGCGATCCATGGCGGGCGGCCCGCGGTGTACGGCTCCCCGGCCGCCAGACACACCCAAACATGCAGACACCCAGGCCCCCAGACACTCGGCCTTCTAAGCCCCGCAAAGACACACACACACACACACACACACACACTCCCCTGGCCACGGGCCTACTCTTCGGCCAGCTTCCCAACGGCAGCCCCGACCAGCGCCGGCATCCCACTTTTCCCCAGCCCGCCCGACCCTGACGCCCCCTCGCACGGACACCCCCCCCCCTGCCGCACCACAGAGCCGCCATGCCCCGCCCGACGGCCCTGACACTGCTGCTGGCCGTCGTGCTGCTGGCCGGCCTGCTCCTGGCACCCCGTGCCTCGGCCCTGCCGGGCCGGGACCCCGGCCCGCCGCTGCCGGGCCCACTGACCGCCGCCGCGGTGGCCCGGCTCTCCCGGGCCGAGGCCCAGGCCGTGGCCCGGGCCCTCCACGCGGCCGGCGGCGACTGGCGCATGGTGGCCGCCCTGCGCCACGGCCTGCCCTTCAGCTGGGACGCCCGGGACCCGCCGGCCACCTGCCCGGACGCCTGCCCCCACCAGTGCGACCCCCACGGCTGCCTCGCCTGCCCGCCCGGCATGGTCCCCACCTTCGGCCGGAGGGTGTCTTGCGCCCCGGGCCCGGGGTTGGCCGTGCGCCAACCGCCGGGCCGCACGCACGAGCAACACCCAAGCGCCCGCCTTGAGTCCCACACCGGGCATGCCCCGGTGGCCGCAGCTTACCAGCCCTGCCCGGAACACTGCTTCCAATGCACCTCGCCCACCTCCTGCCAGCAGTGCAACACCTCCTACTACCTGGCCAATGACACCTGCCACCGATGCATCGACAACTGCCGGATATGCTTCGGCCCCGACACCTGCGACACCTGCGCATCCTTCTACCTGCAGCACCAGGGCCAGTGCGTGGTGGAGTGTCCGGGCGGCTTCTACTCCACCGGCTCCCGCTGCCAGTCATGCGGGGACCATTGCGCCGCTTGCTCCAGCCCCACAACCTGCTCCGCCTGCCAGAGTGACTACCTCCGCCATGACGCCGCCTGTGTGGCACAGTGCCCGACCAGCTACTACCCCGAAGAGGGCAACTGCAGGCGGTGCAGCGCCAAATGTGCCGCGTGCGCCAACGCGTCGGACAATTGCACCGCCTGTCCCACGGGCCAGGTCCTCCAGGCGGGCGCCTGTGTCAGCGCCTGCTCGGCCGGGCACTTCCCCCAGTCGGGCCACTGCCAGCCCTGCGACGAATCCTGCGCCACGTGCGCCGGCACCGCCGATGCTTGCACCACCTGCCCCGAGGGCAAGTTGCTCCAGGCGGGCGCCTGTGTCGGCGCCTGC